GAAGGATCTACGCAGCACGCAAACCAGGGCAGGAGTGGGCCCTACTCCTTACATTACAATATAATTGTATTGTATTATATTGTATTGTAATGTATTATATTTAGGGCTGTCAAGTTAACGCGTTAATAACGCGTTAACGCAAAAAAAATTAACGCCACTAATTATTTTAACGCGATTAATGCATGTGTATTTTTTTTCCTCGGCCGCCCCGTAGTTTCAGAGCGCATCGAGTTTAAAATACCATCTACAATCTGATGCTGACAGCCCCGCTCCTGCCGCCCGCTTGTGGCAGACCACACTTCCACGCTCACCGGCAGGCACCGACTGGCTGTTGGGAGGGTGTGTGTATGTGTGGCCCGAGCGAGCGAGAGAGACCTTACGTGCATTGTTGTTGTTAGCATCTGGTGCTAGCTAGCTGCGCTAACGGATATGGAGCTGTTTAAATGAAAACAGAGGAGCGACATTTCGCCACAACTGCGCCGAGCACTTGACTTTATGCAGGCAGCCAGACAGTGGGACATTGTACGAAAAGTCAGCACACTCAGCACGGATAGTGCGCAACATGATTGCAGCGTCTAGGCAGCTCCCGTTCGAGCATATGCCTTGAGTTGCACATAGCTCCAATGATCCAACACACACACACACACACACACACACACACACACACACACACACACACACACACACACACACACACACACACACACACACACACACACACACACACACACACACACACACACACACACCATGTGTATTGTATTATTGAATGAGAGAGGTTCCAGGTTTAATTGAGGCGAATATTTGTAATGTTCAGAGGTTGTTGTGTTTAATATTCATGAGAATATTTGTCATTGTTCAAATGATAATAAACATTAGCATAAAGCATATTTGTCCACTCATATGTTGATAAGAGTATTACAAACTTGAAAAATATTCCTCTAAGGTACATTTAGAACAGATAAAAAATGTGCGATTAATTTGCGATTAATCGCGATTAACTATGGACAATCATGCGATTAATCGCGATTACATATTTTAATCGACTGACAGCCCTAATTATATTGCATTGCATTATTACCTTTTATAATTAAAACAGATTATTGTTTAAACTGGTATGCTGGTGTTCTCTGATTTCCTTCCTGTTATGATTTTAAGCAGGACTCGTCAAAACGACACGCGGAGCCGAGTGGGGTTGTAAAAACCTCAAAACTCCTACAGTAGCCGGGCTAGCTTAACGGTCCACAGACTGAACCCAAGCTAACATTCGGTCGACGGGCACTTGCCGGTTACTTTTTTGCTTTGCAGAAGAATTGAACAAATATTAAAACACCAGTTAATATTGCAATCTGCCCCGCCGTTTTTTCTTTCGAAATAACGGTAAGGTTTGATTTTTTTCTTCAAACAGTAACATACCTGTTGCTAGTTTATCCCTCCGCACCGACACCACGGCGAGCGGGGACGGACTCTTCTCTCCCTCACACCAGAGGAGTCGGAGGCTCGGCTCTGCGGCTGCGGGTTTAGGATCTCGGGCACGGACTCACACCAGGTCTGCTCGTCCTGCCTTGGGCTGGAACACGCCCAGGAAGCTATCGATACCCCCGGTTCGTGCGGGCATTGTGCCCGATTCACCATCAAGAGCCTCCGCCGACGGCTAGTGCGCCAAGCTAGCCTGTCGGGACAGGACCCCTTCATGTCCGTTGATTCGCCGGCCGGCAATCGGGACATGGTGGCGACCGACGCGGAGATTGAGCCCCGCGCTGTGTCAGGCTGGGGCTCAACAACGGCGGTAGCCGCGGAATCGGAGCCCCGTGCCGTGTCAGGCTGGGGCCCGGTGGCGGCAAGAGCCGCGAGAGCGGAGCCCCGCGCTGTGTCAAGCTGGGGCTCCCAACTGGACCTCACCGTGGTTCCACCCGCGGAGGATGTCCTACAGCTGGATTATATGGAGGAGGATGAAGAGGATGCCTCTGAGTTCCTCTTATCCGACTCGGATGAGCACAAAGATGACATCTTCGTTTCATCTGCCCAGGCTGCCAAGCCGGAGGCGATGTCCGCTCCCCTGGGCGAAAGCACACCAGCTTCGCCCTGCCTCAGTATGGACTTGCAGACCGTGTGCCAACGCGCTGCGTCCAGGCTGGACATCCCCTGGCCTGAAGTGGCCAAGGAGACCTCCAGATCTCGCTATGAGGGGAAGAACTTGCCCCAAGCAGCGAGGATGAGGAAGCAGCTTCTCCCAGTCTTTTCAGAGATGCTGGACGAGGTGTCCCTTTCAGCAACAAGGCCCCAATCCAGGGTGCCTCCTCTTTGGACTGAGTCGACATGGAGAAGCTCGGCCCGATCCACATGCCGCCCATGGAAACAGACTAATTTCCACCACTCATGGACCACACCCACCTTTTCTTGTGAAAAACTGGGTTACATACTGTCGCCCTTTAGTCCCTCTCTCCTGTCTTTCTCTCCTTTCTGTTCTTTTCTTAGAGCCTGACTTTGTGAGTCGTTGAGACATGTTACAACACACGTACGTAGGCTACTAGCATCCCTCCTCACATGCTTTCACTCTGCTAGAAAGTGCCGTTTCCGCGTTTGGAGGCAGGAGTCGCAGGACCAAACCATTACATGTAAATAGAGGGGGGTGTACAGAGGCTTTGGATAATTAACTTGTGGAAGAAAATAAGTTAAATGAATCGTAAGTTTAGTGAGTAGCCTACTACGCAATATACCGTTATATTAATGTTAATTATTGATGAAAGGGTACTTAATTTTTTTTTCTTAATGTTCTAAACATTTTGGGGCCCCCTGCTTGTCACGGGCCCTTAGAATCGTCCTAACCTTTCACCCCCTTACGGCGCCCCTGCTACTAGACAAGAAGGCTATATCCAGGGGCGGCGGGTGCTGTAGGCTAGGGAAGGCTAACGGCCCGTACACACAGCAGCTTTTGGCGATTTGTCCACCGCTTCCAGCGCGTCTCCGCGCATTGACTTTGAATGGGGATGACGTCACTTTCCCTCGCTTGTCGCCGAACTGCATTGTGGGGGGGCGAGGCGAAGATTTCCAGGATTTCCAGGATGTTCAGGATTCCAAAGTTGAACAATGTTCAACTTTTGAGGCTGAGCTGGAAGCGACAGCCAATCAGATCCGTTTATGCAAATCTGACAGTTCAAGCGCTAGCCAATCAAACCGCGTGCAAGCTGGGAGAACCAGACCGGCAGTTCATTTCTATATTCCACAAAAATGGAGGAGAACTTAGTTATTGCGGTAGCAAATCACCCGGTTCTTTATGACCAGTCCCTATTTACTTACCGGGATACAAACCAGAGGAACCAGGCATGGAGGGAGGTGGCAGAGGCAGTGGGTGAAACTGGTAGGTTTTCGCTTGTTTGGGGATTTTATATCCAGTTTACTTCGTTGCTAGTTTACTTCGTTGCTAGCAAGCATAGACAGTATCATTAGCCAGCATGGAATGTAGCATAAAATAGCACCATAAACATTAATCTCATAAATGTTCAAAATGTTAAAAAAATAAATGTTCATCTTAGCCCTTCCCACACTTTACCTCTGCAACATCATAGACTATATCTGCATCACATTAATGCACACAATGTCATATTCCTTTATGCACATATTCTGATTTCACATTTCTTAGTTTATATGCAAAAATGCATTCATAGCATTCTATTTCCATGTAAATTACTGCTTTATGTAATTGTTATCTTATTGCAATTTAACTGTATTTTATTACGGTGTAAAACATTGTGTTTTATATTAGATTTCTTGTTTTTTATATATGCACCATGACATCAAGTCAAATTCCTAGTATGTGCAACCTACCTGGCAATAAACCTGTTTCTGATTTTGATTCTGATAAAGTGTGACAAAACCTTTTATGCAATTGACAGTGATAAAGGGATTAGGTTTTCATTAATGGAGGAATAATTTTCGTAAATTAAAGAAATTAACTGTATTCTTTCATTTCATTTTATTAGACGAAGTGTGCAGAAAGAAATGGAAGACACTGAGGGACAAGTACAGGAAGGAGAAACAAATTGAAAAGGGGGGGAAAAGAAGCGGTGCAGGGTCATCGGGGGGACATAAGCCCTGGCATCTCGCGGCAGTCATGACTTTTTTAAACCCATTCATGATTGACCGTGAGACGTCCAGCAATGTCCCCCGGCAAACCCTTCCTCCATCCACCCTGGTGCCAGAGGAAGAGAGCCAGGAAAGCCAGCCAGCCAGTCCAGCCAGTCAGCCAGCCAGCCAGCCAGCCAGCCAGTCAGTCAGTCAGCTAGTCAGCCAGCTAACAGCCAGCAAGCAGAGCAGACAGGACAGGAGGAGGCGAGTGTTGCGATCCGGGGGAAAAGGAAAAGGGGAAGTGAGATGTCCTCCTTTCAGCAAAGTTTGCTGTCTGCCGTCGGTCCTATTCTGGCCATGCCACCACCACCCCCACCAGTGGTGGTGGAGGAGGACGAGGACCTGTCATTCTTCAAGAGTCTCTTGCCCACCATGAGAGTGATGTCAAGACAGAAGAAGTTAAGAGTCAGATTTGACATTCACAAGGTGGTTTTAGAGGCAGACCAGGAGGAAAATTGATTACTGATACTGATCCACATTACATGTTTTTACACTCATCACACACTTCACTGACAACATTACATAAATAAAAGTTATTTCAAGTATGTTATGGCTCTACTGTGTCTTCACTTGTTCATGTGGTTTGTCAGTTGCAACATACCAGAAGCTTCATGTATGTCGATATATAATGTGCCGTCTTCTGTAATTGTTCAGGTGAAAACCTTTTGTAATCATGGGTGGTTTATCAGTAAAAACAGGGCTGAAGGAAAAAGGTTGTTAGTCATATCATAATATAATAATATCAATTCAAGAAACATGTTTATTAGGAATGTTTGATTTTAAAATGGCTCATTTGGAATATTTGCTTTTTAAAGAAAATATGGGTAGCTCTTAAAAGAGCTTTTGGTTTGTAGACAATGGTGACCCTCACCCTACACCACATTCTTCTGCCATCGCACTGCACCCTCCTCATTGAAGTAGGAGCTGAAGGTCTCCCTCAGTTGGATGGATCTGCGTGTGGCATTGTTGGAGCCCATCCTCGGTGCATCACGCAGGGTTGAAGGAGCTGGAGCTTCATCTGTGGACTCTGCGATAGGTGTGCATGATGGCCTTCCCATCGTCTTCCTGCGGAGGAAGTTGTGCAACACACAGGTGGCCTTCACACACAACTCTACTACCTCCGGGCTGGTGGTGATGACACGCCTGAACATTCTCCACTGGGATGAGAGGATGCCAAACGCACATTCAACCACCAACCTGGCACGGCTGAGGCGGTAGTTGTACATCCTCCTCTTGCGTGTGATCTGGCGTCCAGGGAACGGACGCAGCAGGTTGTCCAGCAGCGGAAAAGCCTCATCTCCTACAAACACATGGGGAAGAAGGCCGAGCCGCTCTGCTCCTGGGATGACGGTATCAGGTGGTAGCTGCAGACTGCCATCTCGGAGGCTCTCTCCAAAAGCGGAATTCCGCAGGCTCCCACCGTCACTGCTCCTTCCAAAACCTCCGACATCCACTACCCTGAAGAGGTACTGGGCATCCACGACAGCCAGCAGTACCAAGGAGTGGGTGGACTTGTAGTTAAAAAACAGGGACCCAGAATTTGCCGGAGCCTGGATCACCACGTGCTTCCCATCAATGGCACCAACGCAATTCGGAAAGTTCCAGCGCTCCTGGAACCCAGCAGCGATGGCTCTCCAGTCCTCGGTCTGTGGTACCGGCATGGTCTCCTCAACCAGGGCGGTCCAGATGGCACCCGCAACCTCCCTGACGATGACAGCCACTGTTGAATGCCCGACCCGATAGCTGAATGCTATTGTCCTGTATGAGTCACCGGTTGCCAGGTACCTGAGGAAAAAAACATATACATGATTAAAATAAATATGTCAGACCCCACATACACACACACACAGATCCCCCCACACACAGACCACAGACACACACACAGAGATCCCCCCACACACAGACCACAGACACACACACATAGATCCCCCACACACAGACCACAGACACACACAGAGATCCCCCCACACACAGACCACAGACACACACACAGAGATCCCCCCACACAGAGACCACAGACACACACACAGAGATCCCCCCCACACAGACCACAGACACACACACAGAGATCCCCCACACACAGACCAGACATACACACAGAGATCCCCCCCCCACACACATAGACCACACACGCCATGTACACAGGGGAGCAAGACTGTGTTTACCTAGCTATCTAAATTAATGTCATCCATCTGAACTAAATCAAAGACTTCAGTCATCATTCATCCATGGCATGCATTCTCTCTCTTTATATACAGAGTCATATTAAAGAAGTAGAAATACACAAAACGTACCGTAGGCAGATGGCGAGTCGCTCGGCGGGTCCAATTGAAAAACGCATATGGGTGTCAGCCTTTGTAATCAGTGGACCCACTTTCTGGAGCAACTCGTCGAAAACGTGTTTGCTCATCCGAAAGTACTGCTGAAACAGCAGGTCATCCATACGGAGTTCTTGGACCAGAACGTGGTATTCCCCCCGTTGCAGACGTTTTCGGAGTATTGGATGTACCCAACAGCGACGAAAACTACATGGCCTCCAGCGAGACATTGCATCCACTAAATTCACCCTTGCTACATAACCGGCATCCATTTTGACAATAGTGTAGAAGAACCGGGTTTTTTTGCTTTGTATGTCGGGGGCGGGATATTCATGTGATTGGTTGTTGGTCGCGAAATCCCCAAGCTGTCAGACACGCCCAGCTCCAGGATTTTCAAGATTTGGTCAAAGCTGCTGTGTGGACGGGCCGTAAGCCTTCCCAAATATTTGTGTCACTGCATCCTGGTAAAATACAATTATAATGTTTGTGTCTTTGACATTAGCGCTACGAAGCCAGTTCAACAGACCCTGGATATGTTTGAGTTATCTAAACTAACCCTAACAAACGAGATCTCACTAAGCGGTCCTACGACGCTGGTTATCATCTCGGTAAATCAAGCCAGGGTTTCTCTCACCAGCTGAGAGCGCGTTCACGTGAAAGGGGCGGGGTTAGCAACATTTGACCAATCACAAATAGGGACAGCGCAGCGTCATACTTCATTAATGAAAAGTAAACTAATATTAGACAAATATGAACTTTAAACATCCATGAATTAAACATATAATCCAGGATACAAGCCACATAGTTGCACCTGCAAGGTGAATACAGAACAACTGGTTAAAAAATAACTACAGAGTGTTTGAAAGCGTACAACAGTTTTATGATATCACTGCCCCATCTAAGACACGAGTGGATCTGTCTTGAATTACATTTGAGTTGAGTGTTTAGTCAACTTAATGTGTTGCTTAAAATAATACTTCTGCAATGCTTACAGTATGTGACAATGTAGGTGATGCACGGCTAGATACGACTCAGATAAGGAAATGTGATATATTATGATATTATATCTGAATGATAAAGTGCGACACGTCGGCGTCTTCTCTGCATACGGCAGTTTAAACTGTATTTCCTTTATCCTGTAATATGACTTGATAGATTTAAACTCCGCACACTGAGCTCTGATTGGTCAGCAGGCGGTGCTTTCACTGAGTTGATCTCTTTTCTTTAGACGCCGGAGCCGGGCAGCGTCAGGTAAAAAAAAGTTATTTAGCCTTCCCAAACCTGAGCCTCACGCGCCGCCTATGGCTATATCTATAATACCCTCCGAACAGAGTCAGAGCGGCTTTTATTCCAAGTATTTCCTCATTCCCAAATGGGGAGGGAACGGGATTCGGCCTATACTAGATTTGAGGGCTCTGAACAAATATCTCAAAGATACAAATTCAGAATGCTCACTCACACATCTCTGTTGCGTCTCGTGCGCCAAAACGATTGGTTCACATCAGTCGACCTGAAAGACGCGTATTTCCACATCCCAGTATATTATCCACACAGGAAATATCTGAGGTTCGCCTTTCAGGGTGTCTGTTACGAGTACAGAGTACTTCCCTTCGGTCTGTCTCTCAGCCCACGAGTGTTTGTACGGTGTACGGAAGCCGCAATAGCCCCGTTAAGACAACAGGGTATTCGCCTGGCAACTTATCTGGACGATTGGCTCCTTCTCGCACAGTCGGAGCAAGAGGCTATTACGCAGACGAATTGTGGGGTATTTCTATATTACTTTGTAAGGGTAAACCCCAGCTCGGTTCAATTATACCAGAATCCAGTGAACAGAGATAACAGATACTCGAGTTTCAAGTTTACTTGCTGCAAGGAGAATCGGCGAGTGACATGCCATGTCCACTCCTTAACCAACTCCAACTCGCCTTCTCCCATTGCATTCTTTTTATTTCAACAATACAGTAACATGACAATCATGTGGTGTTGACCAACGCCTTATCTGTTAGTGTGAATCTTGTGACTCTCAGTCATGTGTGTGTGTGTGTGTGTGTGTGTGTGTGTGTGTGTGTGTGTGTGTGTGTGTGTGTGTGTGTGTGTGTGTGTGGTCCACAGAACAGACTATTCTCTGTTCCTCCATTAACACACTTTATGAGAACACATTATGAAAACACAGTTATGAAAACACATTTATGAAAACAGTTTTATCCTTCAATAAACTCTAACATTCCCTCCTGTTTTTCATAATTACTAGCTGGTTACAGTGTCTTTATTACTTTCAGAATTAATTCACTTGTTTTTGACATTTTCGAACCATTCGTCATATGACAGACAGTAACCTAGCTTTAAGTCTTACACATTGGAGGTTAGGTGAGTATATTCGTCCTTCTGAGAGGGGTCTGTGTCAGTATAGTCACCGTTATCTGTCTGTTGCAACATCGTTGAGTAGTGACCATTTTTTCTCTCGATGGACTTCTTCTTTTGTTGAGGATTCCTCACTCAATTGTCTTATAGTCATTAGCGTCAGACCCAGCAGGGTCACTACAAACAACACCTTTCCCAACATAGTCTATTTGTGATAGTGGTTCTGTTGTTTTCTTCACCGGGGTTGAGACCAGTATTTCCTAATGAAACACCGCCCTTTGTAGCCGGACTTCCACCACTTATCCGTCGTTAAGTTGGAGAGGTATTATCTTTTTGCAGTGGCTCTGATGTATCCACGTAGTTCTTTCGGCGATTTTTAGTGCAGTCGGTGTTGTCAGCAGTACCGTGTAGGGACCGTCCCACCGTGGACAGTGCCAATGCTTCCTCTTAATCACCTTCACGAGGACCTGGTCACCAGTCTGCACTCGAGTATCCTGTAAGGGAGTAGAAATGTCTGGCAAGTTATTTGTTCGAGCTATCTCATTGCTTCTGAAGAGTCTGCTCATCCATTCAGTTAATGTAGTCTCTGCCTCAGCATCATCCTCCTCCCTCACCTCGTCTGTGATTGGTAATCTGAATTGCCTTCCTGTTATGATCTCAAAGGGAGACAACCCTTTTGCCGTGGGCGTGATTCTCATGCATGTTTCTACTAGAGACACACATTCCACCCATGGTCTTCCTGTTTCCTCCATTGTTTTCCTTAGTCTTAACTTTACTGTTCCGTTTGTTCTTTCCACTAAGCCTGCACTCTGTGGATGATATGCACAATGGTTTTTTAATGTTATCCCCATATGTTCGGACAGTTTGGTAATAACCTGATTTACAAAATGAGAACCATTATCACTGTACAGTTTCTCTGGAATACCTCTGTTTGGTATTATTGTCTTGCATATGGCTTTTGCTACGGTAATAGCGTCTGCATGTTTTGCTGGGAATATTTCAACCCACTTTGAAAACGGACATATCATTACCAAACAGTATTTGTACCCTTGGCATGGTGTTAGTTCGATGAAGTCCATATGCATGTGTTGAAACGGGTATGTTGGTGGAGGAAACTTTCCTCTCTGTGGTCGCTCATTGCCTTGAGCATTGTGTCTGCAACATACTACACAGGCTCTACAAAAGTTTTTAGAAAATGTAATGTAGTTGTATGTATGGAAGTGTTCATTTATTATTGTCACCATCCCTCCTGTTGAGACATGGCACGGCCCATGACTCAAATGAGCTGCTGTTTTGTAGAGACTAACAGGGAGTACTATCTTGTTGTTTATTCTGAATGTTCCCTCAGGGTCTGTGGTTAGTTTTTAGTCTAACATGTATAGGTTTTGCGTTCACCATGCGACCTACATCACATTTTCCTTGTGACCATACGCATGGCGGCACCGTTTTCAGGACCTCTAAGGCCTCTTCACTTAGCATACATCATTGTTGTTCAGGGTCGTCTAGGTGGGCGCGTGGTGTCATCACTAGGGTAAACCCTAGAGTTTTGCGCTTTAACCCGCCTCCAGTTTGCCAACCGTTTTTGTCATCTGTCCATTTTGTTATCCTGTTACCTCTAGCCACTAATAAACTTAAGTCTCTCCATGACGTCTCTGGGCCCCTAGCTACTGATATGTGTGGCGTGGAACCTGGTTCCATTATCAAGGCAGTGGTTGATGGGACCCTAGCATCAATTACAACATCCCCGTGTTGGTTTGCATACATCGAGTGGAACACTACCCTCTGTGGTGTCAGTCGATGCACGAGCACATCATAGTCTTTGTTTGGGCCAGGGGTGTTCTTGTACTTTAGTGTAACGTGCAATGCGTCAGGTTTCATTACTTCTTGGCCATGTTGTGGGGTGAATAGTGTTAACAGGTGTTCACCTGTGTTTGTCACGTCAGGTTGTGGCATGTCTAGTGACCAGTAGTAGTTGGGGGTGTTTATGGATTTTTGAAGGAAGACCTGGTCTTCCACCTTTTCTCCGGGCCCTACTGCTCGCATTCCCCCTTTGACTGGTACTACACTGATTTTTAACATTTCCATGCCGTCTCTCCCTAGCAAATTGACAGGGCAGTTTGAGATGAACACAAATTTGAGGGATGCCTGGAGGCCTGACCTTCTATCTTCCATAAAAAGTGGCTTTGAAATCGACCTCTGATGTATGTGTCCATTTGCTGATTTTACAAACATAGTGCCAGTTGGTGGCCACATTCTTTGGACCTCTTTGTTCACTACTGATGAGTCTGCACCGCTGTCACATAAGAATTCTAATTTTTCCCCATTGATTTCGATTGTCCTGGTAGGTTTAATACTGTTGTCTGACAGATTCAGTAATACTTCAGAAAGGTCAATGTGATGTGTGTGGACGTCCTCTTCTTCCTTTTCTACGTCTAGTCAGTTGTCATAACTATGTAGGTTATGTGAAGGGAGGGGGCCATGTCTTTTTGTCTTTGTACTGTCCCTTTTGTCCCCCTTCTTTGTTCTGTGGTCTCTGTTCCTCACAGTCTCTCGCCATGTGCCCCTCCTTTCCGCACCTGTAGCAGAGGAATTTGCCTTCTGCGTTTCTGCCTCCTCCTCTGCCTCTGCCTGTTCCTCTATCATTCCCTCGTCCTCTGTTAAACCCGCCTCTCCCCTGTCCTGGTCCCACAAAGAAAATCTGATTTTCTTCCCCTTCTTCTCCTATGAAGAAAGCTGATGCTGACGCTTTCTTATGTCTTTTTTCTTTGATCTGGAATACCTCTTTCTCTTGCTTCCTTTTTATTCTTTGTTCCTGCGCTTTGTGTTCTTCCACTATCGCTCTCTCTTTCTCGCGGCGTACAGCGTCAACTGACCCTGAACGCCCTGTCTCCTCGTCTGCTTTCACTGAAACAGCCGCTGCTATCATACCTTCTTCTGCTCCACCTGTCCTTTTATGGGCTTGTTCAGCCCATAAAGCTGCAACCCGCAGTTGAGCTTCTAACTTCTTTCTTTTCTTGCCTTGTGTTGTTCCA